GATCAGGTGGCCAATGTCCTCCTGTGGTATCTCATTCCAGGCAACCACCAACTCCTCTCGAAGTGCTTCTAGAGTCTGAGGAGGACGTTGCAAATTGAGCAATCTCCTACCCATCATATCCCACACGTGCTCAATTGGGGATAAGTCGGGAGATCTTGGTGGCCATGGTAACAATGTGACATCATTATGTTGAAAGAAGTCTATTGTGACTCTTGCAACATGTGGTCGGGCATTATCTTGTTGGAAAGTTGGATCTGCCAGGGTGTCAAGATAGGGTAAAAGATGGAGTTCTAGAACTTCGTGGATATAACGCTGCGCGTTCATGTTACCTCTGATGAAGATTAAAGGTGACCTGGAACCATAAGCTATAGCACCCCAAACCATAACTCCAACAGTGTGATGAACATGTCTTTCAACAAAAAACTGTGGATTCCTCTTTTCACCACGTCGCCTTCTAACCCTGGCACGACCATCGTGCATGCCTAAACAAAATCGAGACTCGTCACTAAAGACAATACTGTTCCATTCCTGGCCGGTATGAAAACAAGCCAAAACTTCTCATTCGTCGGTAAACACTTCGCATGCCAATAGGTCTTCCGTGTTCTGCAGACCATTCATTTGCAATGGACCTGGTAGTGGAGAAACGGTCCCTTAAGGCCAATAATCTTAGGCGGCGATCTTCACGGTCTGTTGTTCTACGGCGGCATCCAGTGCCCCTTGCTCTTTGCGTACGGCCTTCTCGAAGCCATGCCTGACAACACCTAACCACAGTGTCTACACTTCTTTGCACTCTAACTGCAATTGCCCGAAAAGAAAGTCCAGCTTCCCGAAGTCCCACTATACGGCCCCTATCAAACTCACTAAGTTGACGAAATCGTACAGGTCTCCGTACTCTAGGCATCGTAACCGATCGTAAAGGATGTCAAGAACCAAAATCCGCCAACGTTGATTCTTTACTGCGGCTGAAATATTCATTTTTAGAGCGTTAGTGAATTAAAAAAAAGCAGTATAAAAACCGGAATATCCAACTGATAAGGCTGAAAATTTTTTCACTTGTTATTTACAGTAAGATAACTACATTCACCAACTTTTATTAAAATAAAACCATTTAAACTGGGTGTTCGGATTTATATGTCACTTAGTATATGTCAGGTATCCTATTGTTTTATTTTGAAAGTCAAAGCTTCAATCAATTTTACCTTCATATTCGATTTGCTTAACATTATGAGTTTCGTCGCAACAGGCACGTTATATCTATTCCTATTTATATTTAATATCGATTATATTAAAGTGTACTTTGCACAGTTATCAGTTTGAGGCTAGAAAGAATTTGAATTTCAAACATACGATTTTGTATAATTCTTGGTGCTGACAGCTAATTTGCTAAAGCTTACAGGTTTATAGCGTAGGCGCTGAATTATTTTTCGTGAGCCTCCTTGGACTTTCAGCTCCACAAAATAATGGCATGTTCTTGATGTTTTCTTAAGCTGAGGAGAAAATAGGTATTTCTCAAGACTCATGGGTGCCATACCCTAATTGGTGATTTTAACATCTTTCGGTCGAACAAACCGTAAGATATTATTCCAATTGTCTTTACATTGTCTATCCCTTAATAAGTTTTTGAGTTCTTTACTATGAAAGATAAGCTGAAATTTAAAAATATAATCTCAGGGAAGCGCTCACTGGGTATTTCAGGTTAGCAAAAATCTGAATTTCAAACTGACAATTATCTTTGACACTAAACTAAAACATGTAATTTCCCGCAAGGGGATCTGAAAGCTAATAAGATAGAAGACATCCGTTTGTCACGAAAGTATGGCAGAGGTGATAAGATAAAGTATAAGTGCTTAAGTTCTATTAAAAACATGTATTATTCGAAGATTTTATCAATTAATATGATCCTTCACTCACATATCAAGTAAATGATAATATATATGAATATTCATTTAATCAATTAACAGCAGTTGTGATCACAAGATCTGGCAGCGTTGCTCAAAAATACCACTTCTTAACTGTACAAAACTATCCTAAGAACCTAACTCTAAAATATTGAAGGCTTTCCAAAAATTTTGAGCCATATGCTACAGTGACTTTTCTATTATCGTCTAACAATTTTAATGTCGTTTCAGCTTTATACGAAGTTTCGTCAGACGCAAAACCAAAACCTGATGGTGGTTTCATTGAACCGCCAAGCGCAGTAATAGCGCCATCTAGCGTGACGCACCGTTCGTCACCGCAGGTCCAGGTCAGGCATCGAGAGTTGGACCCTGCTGTCCAAGATACCGGCAAGGACACGCAGAAGCTGGTCGAGGAAGACTGCTGATATCAATTTAACATTCCAATTATTTGAGATTTGATGGATTATCGTTAAAGGTTAGGTTGTACATATTTGGTCGAAGAGTAGCAAGAGTGGTCAAATGCTGTGCACCTAGTGATTTATCATTCCAATAACCAATAGATTATTGGAGGACTAGAATCAGAACTGGGCATAACATACAAGTAGACCTACAGCTAATAATCCGAAAGGTAGCATATCAGTTGAGAAAGTGTTTTCGTTTTTGTGCATGTTCTTTGAAGGGTTATGCAGTAAGATATAGCTTACGAAACTGTGATGTTCTTTTATACTTACATAGCTTCCGAATTTCAACATCCTTTAGTGGTTTATTTGTTAACTACCTTAGTTTTCTTTTACGAATAATATATTCTATGAATGAAAAAGTTGCAACCAAAATTCCTTGAAAATGTTCACCCAAGCAACAGTTCAGTAATGTAAAATATCGGAAAATGCTTACTAGTAGATGTCTGGATAGAGAAGGTGAATGGTTCATACCAATCTAGCAAGCGTCGCGTCAATTACACAATATTTATTTCGGCACCATGCGTATTCAGTTTCAATACACTCAAGTTTCGGGGCTTTATCGATTACATGTTATATAGCAACATCCTATTTAATGTTACATACTGTATGTTTTTGTCTATGTACGTTATTACTAACAATAACTATGAAGACGCAACATCACAGATATGGCATCCACCATATCGTTTGCCCAGTGTGTTTATATGTTTGGTTCTAGTTTTTTCAATAATCGTTGGAAATACCTTTGTTATTGCAAGTAATTGATAGGAAGTGAGGTGTGTATATTATAATCTGATAGCGAATAATGTAATTTATTATTGTCTTTTTATATGTAAATTCTTCTGCTTGTATACACCTAGGAGACAACTGAAATTTCGTGATTTTAAATCAAAAGAAGATATATATTTTTATAATGACTTATAAATATAAGTGAAAGATCCACAGGAATGAATCTAATGAGACTTTTCGGATATTCAGTTTCAGCAAACAAAAGTGCCATTGAAGAATAAACACACTGTGAACCATCTGTACCAGATTTGTTCCTGTGAACTTTGTGAATGACAAATATGAATAAATAAAGAATTCTTCCATACCTAAACGACATTTGTACATATAGGGTGTAATGTAATGAAAAACTATGGTTCTAATTTGTAGTTTATAACGCACGTCCCGAAAATAGCAAAAGTCACTTCCAAGAAGTTATTGGTGTTGATGAAAATTTAATATTCTCCAATATAGTGCAATCAAATAATTTTCCGCTGTTTATCTGACTACAACTAAAACTGGATGGTATTTTACACAGGATTTATATCGACTGATGGAAAACAACTATTGTTATTATTGGGGCGTATTATTGATAGCTAAGTTATACCCTTTTTATCTCCGACAACACCGTCCATACCCCAATTTATAATATTGAATGTAAAACGATCAAAGATATTGTTTTAGATCATTTAAATTTTATTGAATTGTTATTTAATTGACATGATTTTATAACTGATTACTTGTTTGCCCATACTTTTGAGAATAGAATAGCTGAAAAATATCAAACGTACTTACAAAGATATGTGCAATCAGGTACTCATTAGGTTTGTTGCTAGCTAATATATGTGAAACTTTGTACATACTTTGGGAGCAAATGCCTGTTTTACAGAAGATGAATAATATATAGGTTGTTTATATTTATAGGATTTTTTTATTTCCATCATTTCATCGATTCTCCCATCATCATCCCCTGCATGTGTGATAACGGTCACACTGTTGATGTGGCGTGTAGCTGTTAAAATGAAGACGTGAACTAATTGTCAGGTGTAATTATTATTTACATCTATAGACTCGTGAGTCTTTTGAGATGCTTGGCTCTAGAAGAATTTTTGATAAGGTTAGGGGAAAGTGGTACACAATGACACAATTTCTGAAAAATCCACGGACAAACCTTGATGACTTGTTTTTTAACAAAATCATTCCGTGTGTCTTTTACCTCACTCAATTGCAAATAAGGTCCAATATGTAATAAGAAAATGAAAGAAACTAAAGAAAAAATTAAAAAATTTCTTTGGGCTGCATTTGTATCAATGTGTACCACCAGTGGTACAGTTTGAAACATATGGTAGTACACACTAAAACACGTTGTAAATTATTACAAATCTGTCAGAATCAAATAATATTTATTTTTTGTAGGTCATCGTACAATTATATTTTTAGGTTCTAACCCAAAACTATAATAAGAAAGTCTTTTGTTGCTGGTTTCTATAGGTTCTGGTTATAACAAAACAAAATCGGATTTCAACCCCATATGAATATCAGGAGTATCGGGAAAATAAAATGAATTTAAAACTTTGCCGCTCCTTCTTAGGTTTTAAACTTTGAATTCTTCTGAGTTTACAACATCTAAAATTTTGGCAACATAATGAATATTATTTTCAAATTTCACCAAGAGTAATTTCATAAGATTCCAAGTTATCTTTCTGCTCCTGTATCATGCTATATTTAAGATCTTCTAATGATAATTTCTCGTCGGAAGAGTCCTTCAACTCCAGATTATTATCTTCTGATTCTGAATCTGTTTCATTTCAGATCTTTTCCTTTATTATTCTTTTCTTTGTTTTATCATTTCTGTTCTAACTCCCTGATATATTTCTTTTCACCTTCTCAACTGCAGTCGTGTTTGGGGTTTCCTTTCTTCTGTTTTATAAGAAAGATCTCTCATTTCTGGTGTGCTAGTTGAAATAATGCTCTTCTTTGTTTTTCGTTTCCTATTTAAATTCTTTCTAGGTGCAGCTTTTGGAAATCCTCGCAGCTCAAATGGAGTAACAAAATGACCTTTCAATACAGATAAGTTTTTCTTATTCACAGCTAATTCATTTATTTCTGTTTGTTTGTTACCATATAAACCAACAGATTCAGTTTCAAAAATTGAGTTTTCCTCTTCCTCATCTACTTTGCGATCCAAAGTTTGAATTGTACCAGATGAACCAGCGCTGGACGTAAAGGCAACATTTGAACGTGAAGGGTTGTCTTGACGGTCAGGTGAAGCTTCGTTTCCACGGGTGTCATCTCGTATTTCAACTATTGCTTTTTTTGTGCCCAGATTATCTGAGTCAATTTGTTCCCTGTCGGTAACAGACGACGATAAAAAATCACCATCCGTAAAAATGTTTTTATTAAAAGGATAGATGCCTGTACCTCTGAACCCATTCATTATATTTTCTGGAGTCATAGATTTGGAGTGGGCAATACCGACACACTCCGAAATTTGATACAACGTCATATGAACAGCCGGGTGGTTGAGAAGCCACGAATCAATTGCATAGTTTTTGAATGAAAAGAACACAGACTTATCTAGAGGCTGAAGCTTGTTGCTGGTATGTGGGGGAAGGGTTAAAATTATCACACCATTCGCTTTCGCTTTTTTTGCTATCTCCAATGAGACATGGGATTCATGATTGTCATATATTAATAAAGAACGATTTTTTTTTAGTAGTAGCAGAACGCTTTAAAAAATGGTCAAAAACTTTAGTAAACAACTCAGCGGTCATCCAGCCACTCGGATTGGTTAATCCCAATGTTCCAGGTGGTGCCCCATTTAACATAAGTAGGTATGTTAAATTTTTTACGGGGAAAAACAATGGCTGGCGGCAAAAACGTTCCATTTGCTCGAATTATTGCACAAGTGGTAGCTAGCAAACCTCTCTCGGCACTTGTAGACTGATTAAGTTGTTTAACCCCTTTTTGTGCTACTACCGTATGTGGGCGCTGGACGGTCGTCGTGGACGTTTCATCCAAGTTATATAAGCGGATATCTTGAATAATTGATGGATGTTGCTTATATATTTCTGCTAAGTGTGAGAAAAATCTGTCCATGTTGGGTTTGGTGAAAGAAGTAAGACTGGACAACGAACATGCTTCAGGCATCCTCAATACGCGCATACACTGTCAATGTTCAAAAAATCACCAGCCTACCCCTGCACCAAGGTGCTCAATAAGTTGCCATCAATACTAAAAGATATTAGATGCTCAACTAGGTTCAAGAAAGAGCTGAGGAATCTGTTAATAGAAAGATGCTACTACTCAGTAGCCGAGTTTCTTTCAGGGTAAGAGTGATGCACCTAAAAATTAAATAAGAAACTATGGCTGTATATATATATATACGTGTATATATGTATATGTATGTATATATATATATATGTATTATGTGTGTGTATATATGTGTGTATATATTTACTCGTATATGCGTACCTTTTATTTTTTTCTATTTTTATTGTACTTACTTCTTTTACACCTTGTTCCGTTTATTATTGTATCTGCTTGTTTAGTGTATGTTTTCATTCATGCGCACATGCGTCAATTGCCCTTTCTCGACTAAACTGTGTTTCTTTCCATTTTTAACCGACAAATTTATGTATTTATACTTAATTATATTTTTAATTTTTGTAGATAATAATGTACTCATAGAGATATGCCTGACGAGTCTTATATCATTCCTATTATCCGAAGACAATAAAGCATCTATCTATCTATCTATCTATCTATCTATCTATCTAGTAATATAGCTTTCGTTCGTCCGATCACAGACGGCCAACCATGGGCAGCTGTTTGGTGTTATTAGGAAACTCATCAGCAGGCTGTAGGCTTTTTCTCGGTGGACAACGAAGGAAAGCTGAGCAACTCTGCTCTATTTAGAGTATAAGGTTTAGGTGAAAGCCAAAACAGTAAGCTGTCTGTTGGATCTGCTGGTTTCAATATGGTTGCTCAGCTTCCGTTTGTTGTCCACCGGGACCAAGCCTACACTATGCTGAGGAGTTGCCAAATAACACGAATCACCTGTCCATGGGTAGCCATGTGACCAGACGAGCGACAGCTACATTACTAGTTCGTTCCATAGCGAGAAGCAACGGAATCGGCGGCATTTAACGGCCACAGTGGTGACCCGGCTGACAATGCAAACTGTGTTGCAGTTCCAATAGACAGTTTGCTGTTTTGTCTTCCGCAGTGGTCAATTCTGGTAATAGACGGCACTCAGTCATGCCTTGTTTCGATAAATCCAATAAGTAAGAATTTTCTGTCACGGAGGACAGCTTTGAAAAACTTTTTGGCTTTGTTAAGCTACAGATACAATTTACAATACGTATGTATGGATTTTTGGCTACTATTGGATCAAGAGCCCACTTCAAAAAAGCGTGCCGATGGAGTAACGGAATGGAATCTATTTTGAGTAATAGTATGTATAGCAACAATTCAGAGAACCATTTGGTGTCAGGACGAAATTGGTGCACACGATCAGTTTATCATTCATATCTAACTTTTTTTAAGCCGGTTCACTGGATACGAACATACGTTGAACAACTGTAGTACAGCTTATCAGCCGTTATACAGGGTGTAAGGTTAGTGGTGGATCAATGGAAGTCAGGTGATAGAAGGTCTCAAAACCTATCGAATGAACCCTTCTATGTGTGTCCTAAATTTTATAGTTCAGGAGATATTTGCAATTCTGTGAAACTTTGAAAAAAAAAACGGGATAATGAACTTTCAATCGCAATTACAACTTAACGATTAGGTTTAGGGCGGCTAATACACACAGTATCACTCACACTGCTAGGGCGAATCTAACAGTACCTCATATGTCAAAATCCATCAAGTCGTTTAGACTGTAGTTCGTAAAATAGAATTTCTTGTTTACATGTATAGATACCGACCTGCGTCAATCACACAGATTTTTTAAGGTGAGGCACTTATCGTAGCAAGCTGAAATTATCAGGGTTTATTCTACATGGATTGAAATAGTTTTTACAATAAAATGAATAATGAAATACAACCTCAACTTTCTTACCGCTCTCCAAATTTGAGGGATAGAAGAGATTTTTCACAAAAAATAAATTTTTTGTGTTTATTTCTAATAAGCTCTGTTAAAAAGTGACATAACCATTGCTAAAATTAACCATTCAGCTCATCTCAAAAAAAAATACACAGTCCTAAACCTAATGGTTTAGTTGTAATTGTGATTGAAAGTTCATTATCCCGTTTTTCTCGAAACTTCACAAAATTGCAAATATCTTCTAAACTATAAAATTTCGAACCACACATATAGGGGTTCATTCGATAGGTTCTGAGGCCCTCTATCACCTGACTTCCATTGATACACTACTAACTTTACAATCTGTATAGTATGGAGCCCAGACGACAATGAGTTTGAACGCGCGGCTTGGTTTTTTATATATTCCTATAGGTGCTTAATAATACTACCCATACAAACTGAGGGTACATATAAGGTCACACGTGACCTTAGTGTCTGCGTTCTGGACTTTGAGAGATTTGCAATGTTGTTTCAATTTTGTGATAAGATTAGCAAAAACTGTCTTTAGTATTTGAAAACACCTTACATGTAACTGTTCAAAATTGATTTTCATTCTAGCAAAAATTGACAATTTTTCCATTATTCTACTTTTTACTTAAATAACTGCTCAAATTGATAAAAAAGGGAAACATCGGTACATCTGAATATCTGTGATTATAAGATATGTTTGTTTTAAGAAAAGGAGTAAAGTGAGCTTTGAACGACCACGATTTGGATCGCATGACTTGTTCTTTATACACTGTGTCCCAGATTCGCTTCTCTATAAAGGGATCTCGGCTCCTGTTATACCTACAGCAAAAAAGAAGGTGGTAGACAAGGACCAGTCGACCGAGGCAGTACCACCCGCTAGCTTTTCCCAGGGTGTCTTATAAATGTCCGCATGTTTCCACACCTAAGCTATGCAGTCGGTTATCCTCCAAAACAAAGAAATTAATGATGATGGATCCCTCGAGCACTAAGAACTCCGGACGTAAACTCATTCCACTCTCGGAATGTCCGGGTGGAGGGTGGGCTCGAGGGAACAACATCTGCGGGCTCAACAGCAACATTAATGCTGTCCATCACTACCTGCAATCCAATCGTTCCGCCGTGCTTTTCTTGGTGGAGACAAAAATCTCAGAGTCTGCACCGATTAACCATCTTAACTTCCCAAACTACGAGGTGCACTCCAATCTGAGAAAGAACGGGGGAGTTGTGGCTTTTGTCCGCAGCAGTCTTTCCTACTTCAGAGATGTTTCTTTCTAATCAGACCGGAAGGACATTCAGTGGCTTCGCCTCAACTCCAAAACATCACCCAAATTTATTTGCTCCCTCGGACCATAACTGGGATGACCTACTCGAATACCTCGCCGTCCAGATCGACTTCCTGAACATCAATCTTCCCGCTTCAGAGGTAGTCCTTCTCGGTGATTTCAATACCCATAATGAGCTTTGGTTGGGCTCAAACAAGACCGCCGCAGCAGGTCGTGCAGTCGAAGCGTTCGCTCTTACTCAAGGGCTGACCCAGCTGGTGACGAGCCCTACTTTTTTCCCCAGCATCTCGTCACACGCCAGTAGCCTGCTGGATCTCTTTCTGACCACGCATCCTGTCCCTTACAGCACTGCTGTCCTGTCCCCCCTGGATAACTCAGACCACGGTGTTGTGGAGGTTAGGTTTCGGTCATAACCCGCTGTGGCATCAGAAACTCGTACAGTCCGCAAAACTTGGCATTACGGACATGCCGACTGGGAGGGGCTCAGAGATTTCTTCTCTAGCTTTCCTTGGAAAGATGTCTGTTTCACTGACGCGGATGCGTCGGCTGTCTGTTCTTCGATAACCGAAATTACCCACGTCGGAATGGAGGAATACATCACTGACACAGTGAAAGTGCCTAGACCAGGGTCCAACGGCTGGTTTAACAAATCGTGTGACGCCACTCACCAGCAGAAGATCAAGGCACACAGAACCTTCTTACAAAACCCCACTGTAGAGACCAGACAAGCCGACGTTGAGACCAGAAACAAATATAAAGCAGCGGTTCGCAATGCCAAAAACCAGCACGATATAAAAGTTAGGCACAGGGTAATGTCGCAGCGCAATGACAGTCGGTCTTTCTGGATGCTGGCAGATCGAAAAGAACTTCTCACACAGTAGCCTTCCACCACTTACGTGTCAGGATGGAACTATTGTATTCAACTCAAAGGCCAAGGCGGAAGTGCTAGCCAAGATCTTTGCTACCAACTCCACCAAGGACGTCCCCCCAACGCCCAAGTGCCGTCAATTCAAAGGGTTCCCTACACTATGCGGGAGGTAACATTCAGGCATAAGACCGTAAGACGAGTACTCTTGTCGCTCGACATCAACAAAGCTTCTGGTCCGGACTTGA